GTTCTCATATAGCTTCTTTTCCAATTTGGAGTAAAGAAAAAAAAAAAGCTCCTAATGACATCTGATCCTGGCAACCCAGGAAGATAGGCTGACTTCAGGTCTCTGGCTAGGCAGGGCCAGAGCTGCTACTCTGCTTGAAGCAGTTACAGATGGATCTTTGGCCATCAAATCCCCTTAAGATTAAGGAACTGAAGTCACTTTTGGAAAAATGAGGCAGGATATATTTAAAAAATAGGCACGGGAGAATAGTGATAATAAGTACAGACCCCCTTGAATGTGGAGACTTGACTTATGAGAGATGGTTATAGGCTCAACCCTCTATATCTACCTAGAAAATCCTAGCTTTGTTGAAAAAAAATCTGGTTAACAAAAGTTGTCAGGATGGTCATTGCCGGAGGCCCAAACCTTAAAAATTAGTGGGGCCCCTAAATATTTCATTTACTGTTCTTAGCCAGGAATACTCAGAGGAAGCAACCAGGAAAGCATTGAGAGATAGATTTCATGGAAGTCACACCCCTGCCTTAGGTTAAGTAAATAATGCTTCATTAACTTAGTGAACTTACAGGCAACTCAGCAGGAAGCATATAAAGAGGCCCATCTGGGATCTAGCCCATCCCTTCCAACCTGGATATACCATTTGGATTAAGAAGTTCATCAAAGACAGCCTCAGAGCCACCCAAAGGGACCCTACATTGTCATCCTCACCACCCCCACTCCAGTTAAGGTAGATGGGACCTCTGCCTGACTCCATCACCTGCCACTTCAGAGCTACTGAAGCTAAGACTTTTGTGTCACCCTTTCTGTCAACTCCTTCCCCAGAGCCACCTTTGTGTGACACTTTCTGTGGTAAATCTTACCCAGCCTGAACTGGGAAGGGATTGCTGGTTTTGTTTAAGTCCGATTTTAATGAAACAGATTTCATGCAGAAGACCCTTTTGGAAACTTTGTTTAACTTGGTTAGGCTTATGGTCCTAAGGGCCCAGTACAGCTCTCTCACTAAGATACCTATGGTGTCATGTATATAAAACAAGTAAGGAATGAGCTAAGCATACTATGTCTAAGTAACATTGCCTTGTTCTTATAGTCATCCTGATGCCTTGCTGGGTGGTGGGTACTTTCGCCCTGCTCAGCAAAACCTAGAGGTGATGTCACCCTTTGAATTACAGATGTCATGTTGTTTAGCCCCAGGAAATCTTGCTTGCACATGAGTATTTACCTAGAAGGTTTGCTTCTGTTGGACTTGGAACTCCACCCCTAACAATGTGTTTTTTCTCTTTAAAACCTTTGTGCAAGCTACATTCTAGGTCTTTGAGACAGGAGTCCACATGCAGTCACCAGCCTCCTAATAAAGACTCCCAATTTGACCTCTCAAGATGTGGCTTCTCTGTTTCTCAAGACTGAATTCCTATTTAACAGTATGTAAGTGCCCAAACACATCAAGCTGTGCACATTAACTACATGCAGTATTTTTTTTGCATATCAATTATACCACTCAAAGGTGAAAAGAAAAAAAAAAGCCATTCTGTTGATACTGACCCAAGGGCAGATTTTTTTTTTCATTACTACTAAAGAATTAAAAGGTAAGATATGTTTAATGTAAGCAGACCAAGTTTATGTTAAAAAGAATGAAAAGCTGTGAAAGAAGTAGCTAGACTCCATCTGGAGAGGGACCGAAAAAGGAGTCCAATGGAGTCCTCTTCAAGGAAGGTTATTATAGTATGGGGATCCTCCTCCCCATGTTCCTTTTTCTGGGCTTTGAGCTGATTGCTTGATGACTTGTGTATAGGATGCTCTGGCTCTTTTATTAGTTCAATAGGCATTTAAGGAGCTTTGGAAAGAAACATTTGAGCAGGAGCCCAAGTACTAAAGGAGCAAGAATCACCACATTATCAGCTATACGTTATATCCACCTCTTTTTATCCCTATCAGCCTAACAATTCACCTTTCTCACTATATTCTCATTAATTATATTTAGCTCACTTGTTTAGGAGTGAACTCACCTGAGCAAGTACATAGTTCCCTTAAGTGTAGCCCCTATTCCTCTTCTACTTTGCACTTTTTGGCTTTGTTTTGAGGCATGAAGTGAGGGATATTCAGGTAAGGCCATAGTAAATGGACCTACCAATTACAAGATACATCTCAACATCTGCATGACTAAAATAGGAAATAAAATGTACATCTGAGATTCAGAACCACAGATTTCATCCAAGCTTCTTCTTGTCCCTCTGTTCATGACCTCTCAGTGATGTAGTTCCCTTTCACCTACTCTTACACATTGATCTGTCCATAAAGGTCTCCAGGTATTTTTTAAAGATTAAAAAAAAAAAAAAAAAAAAAAAAAAAACTTCTTCCCAGCACTCTACTTGAGGTGTAACTCTGCGGCCAGTCACTTCCAGGAAGGTCCCACAGGTTATCACCCACTCTACTCAGGATTACTTAGACACTCAGTAGAGTAAATGCTGCCCTGCAACCCCTCAGAGGGAATATGGGGGAGTCATAGGTAGTCCAGGGAATAAGAATTAATACAAAGACTTGCTGAAAACAAATGCACTATGAATTCCCTCCTGAAAGGCAGGGAAGCTCTGTGAATAACCTGGGTCTGGGTGAAGTTTCAGGAAAATAGAGCAGCTATTTTTAGCACAAAGGCCTGCCATTCAAAGGACCCGCAAAAGAAGCCCTAAGGAGAAGAAATAAAGAACCCATGGCTAAATCATCACCACTGTAGACAGGTCTGCAGGGCAGCAAAACTGCCTCCCACAGATATCACACATACTAGCTTAGCAACATAATGGACTTCTTTTGGTCTGTTACACCAACCACTTCTAAACAATATATTGAGATCATAACCCAAATGTTTAGTGATAAGTCAGGCTTATTTAAGACCTACTGCTCATCATTCACACCTGTAATCCTAACTACTCAAGAGGCTAAGATCTAAGTATGTCAGTTCAAAGCCAACCCAAGTAGACAAATCCAAGAGATTCTTATCTGCAATTAACCAGCAAAAATCTATAAGTGGAAGTCTGTCTCAAGTGGTAGAACACCAGCTTTGAGCAAAAAAGTCAAGTGAGAGTACAGGCCCTGAGTTCAAGGCTCAATAACTAGCACAAAAATAAAAAAAGAAAGAAAGAAAGAAAGAAAGAAAGAAAGAAAGAAAGAAAGAGAGAAAGAGAGAAAGAGAGAAAGAGAGAAAGAGAGAAAGAGAGAAAGGAAGAAAGGAAGAAAGGAAAGGAAGGAAGGAAGGAAGGAAGGAAGGAAGGAAGGAAGGAAGGAAGGAAGGAAGGAAGGAAGGAAGGAAGATAAGCAAAAATGGTTTCATTTTCATACTATTCATCTCTTACTCCTATGGCTCCCACCAGCTTTAAGCTGCAGTCATAAAGCAGACTAGAAACATCTTCCTTCCTGAGATTACTAGGCCTAGTTGTGTGCTGTTCTGCTTTACTACAAAAATAAAAGCAAACAAACCACCACACATACACATAAGCACCAGGAACTGCACTTATTTCTATATCACTGTCCCCTTGAGGAGAGTCCAAAATATGGCCTTTGCCACTGAAAGACAAGATAAAGGCAGAAGAGCTGGGGGTATGGCTCAAGTAGTAAAGCAGCTCAAGGTCCCAACTTCAAATCCAAGTGCCCTAATAAAAAATAAATAATAATAACTAGATATTAATAAAATTAATATGAAAAGACAGAGATGGAGTTAAAATAAGAAAAGCAAATATGCCAGGCATAAGTACTCAGTAGGAAGCTGGATACTGGTGCTCACACCTGTAATCCCCTCCCCCACCCCACCCACCCGACCCCACCCCACCCCGGTTGTGGGGCTTGAACTCTGGGCCTGGGTGCTGTCCCTCAGCCCTCTACCACTTGAGCAACAGCACCACTTCTGGCTTTTTCTGCTAATATGGTGCTGAGGAATTGAACCCAGGATCTCATGCATGCAAGGCAAGCCCTCTACCACTGAGCCACCTTCCTATCCCTCACACCTATAATCCTATCTAATCAGAAAGCTAAGATCTGAGGATCGTATTTTGAAGCCAGCAGGAAAGTCCATGAGACTCTTACCTCCAATAAACTCAGAAAAAGCTGGAAGTGGAGCAGAGGCTCAAATGGTAGAGTGCTAGCCTTGATCAAAAGGAAGCTCAAGGACAGAGCCAAGGCCTTGAGTTCGAGCGCCAGGACTGGCACTTCCCTCCACCCTCCCCCCACCCCCAAAAAAAGTATTCAGAAGGATTTCTGTACGTGAGGTACCAATCTGACTTTTTGAGACTTCAATCTACAAAAACAGCACCATCAAAGCAGCCACCTGGGAGGACACAGTAAATTCAAGGAATATCAGGTTTCTTTATTAAGTTTGAAATTAGATAAGAAAAGGCTCCAAAAAAAAAAAAGACAGTGTTGAGTCCTGTATTTCTCTGTAGTTACCAACGTCTTACTTTCCAAATCACTTGCCTCACACCTTTCTGTTTCTAGGGAGAGCTGTTTCCTCAGCTTGTAGTGCTGTTACAATGGTAATTTAAACTCAATATGAGTTGTGAAGGGCCACACTCCAAATCTACTAAATCATACCTCAACAAGCATTTAATCATTCATTCATTAATAAGTATCTTTTTTGATGTATGCTAAAACATTTTATTTTAACATTTTTATTACTATGTATTAGATGTACAAGGCTGGGGAGGTTATTGTGACATTTCCATACATCCAGATCATATACCCCATCAAACTCATCCCCTCCATCTCTCACCCTTACCTCATATCCCCCACTTCAAACAATTTCAACAAGTTTTATTGTTCTATTTTCATGTATGCACATAAAGTAATTCAACCACATTCACCCTCATTTACCCTCTCTTTTAGTCCTCATCTCTCCCACTGATAATCCCCCAACAAAGCCTATAATTCTCACCTATCATTTTCAGTGTATATTAATTAACTGTATGAAGGAGTTTTACCATGCATATATTATATTAGCCAGATTATCCCACGTATTGCTCAAAAATATGGGCTGCTTCATGAATTGCTTGTCAATTTTGCATGGGTCCGTGCTAATCTTTGTATCATTCCAATTTTAATGTATGTGTTGCCAGAGTAAGCACAAACATGCAGATCTTTAAGCTCCCTAGACATTAATGTCCTGCTAGTTTTGAATGCCCCCTCCTATAGTTCTCCTCCTATTACAAATGGTCCCCAAATTCTTTCCTAGGCAAAGGCAGCGTCTATGATTCCTCACCTCAAACATGGACACTTTGGCCAATAGGATACAATAATTTCAAACACTAAAGGACAACTAAAATTCCTGTGTTTTCATATGGTAGCCCAGTGTAAGCCAAATTCAGGGACTTGGCTTCCTTCAAGCTTTTTGCTCCATATCACTTAGGCCATTGTCACTGTCTACACCATCATCAGTGGAATATTTTTTTTGGTTCAAGACTGGGACTCAAACTCGGTATCTGATGCTTGCACTCACTGGCTAGTGCTTTACCACTTGAGCCACTTGTACAGCCTCATAATTTGAGCCTCTGACTAGGTTATAGCAATTAAGATAAGGGGACAGAATGAGGGATAGGTCTGACTAAAAATGACTCATGTTAACTGTAAAGCAGTCTGGGGCATTACCTGAGAGGTGAGCTGTGAGCTCTGTCATCCTTGTATTACTGTGGAAGTGGGTGACAGATATTGGCATATATCTGATAACGTTGGCCAGAGGTCAACACTCTGAACATGTCCACACTCCATGTGCATCTTTCTTCTTATATGTAGAACATAACCTTTCTTCAAAGGGCAAATTCAAAGTTCCCTCCAGTCACTGAACCCAACTCTATGTCCAGAAACTATAGATAATAGTCTTTGGGGATCTTTGTAATTGATGTATCTATAAACTAAAAAGGATCTTATTTATTTATGTATTTATGTATTTATTTACTTTTATGCCAGTACTGGGGCTTGAACTTAGGGACCTAGACTCTTGCTGGGCTGTTTTGCTCAAGGCTGGTGCTCTACCATGTAGGTCACTTCTGCTTTTACATGGATAACTGGAGATGAGAATCTCTCAGATTTGTGTGCTCTGGCTGGTTTCAAACAAAGATCCTCAGATCTCAGCCTCCTCCTAGGTAGGATTACAAGCATGAGCTACCAGCACTCACATAAAAAAAAAAAAAAAAAAGGTTTTAACATCTTCCCAATTGTCCTGCTCTTCACTACCCCTGCCCTTACAATCAGAGATGGATCAGGAGCAAGAAAACCACAATAAGTCTCCCTTCTTATAAAGGTAAAAAATAATCCAGGTGCCAGTGGCTCACTCCTGTAATTCTAGCTAGTCAGGAGGCTAAGATCTAAGGCTCATAGTTGCAGACATCCCAGGCAGTTTATTTCCAATAAACTATCCAAAAATCCATAAGTGGAGCTGTGGTTCAAGTAGTAGAATACTAGCCTTGAGCAAAAGAAGCTCAGGGACAGGACCAAGGCCCTAAATTCAAACCCCAAGACTGGCAAAAAAAAAAAAAGGTAAAAATAGGGAACCCATAAGTCTTTTTTTTTTTTTTTTTTTAATTTAATTTTATTTTATTTGTGAACATACTGTACAGAGGAGTTACAGTTACATGGGTAGGATAATGTGTACATTTCTTACCAAGCATTGCAGCCTCCTCCTTTGTTTATCCTTCACATCCCTTCCCAGCCTCCCCCCTCCCCCCCTAATCCCAATCCTTCTCCTTCCTCCCTCCCCCCAGCCCCCCCCCCCCCACCAACATTGTAAAGTTCGTTTTGGACATGACAACTTGTACTTCTCATTGTTGCAACAGGTCCACCTGTATCCTTAAACAACTGGTTTTTCCCCATCTCCTCCACAAGTTATACTGACATCAAATATAGTGAAAGCAAGGGTTATACTGTGGGGGAGGGACATACAAAGCAACAAAGAGATAATCTTATAAATGTGTTAGAAACACATGCATGAAAGAAAAAAACATTAAAATACACATCTAAGGGTTCATTTTCCTGACATCACATTATCTGACCTTTTCCGCTTGACTCATACATATACTAGATATTACAAATAAGGGAAACCATGGGACCTACGTTTCTTTGGGCCTGGCTTACTTCACTTAATATAATTTTTTCCAAGTTTTTCCATTTCCTAACAAATGGGGCAATGTCATTCTTTCTGATGGAGGCATAGAATTCCATTGTGTATATATACCACATTTTCTTGATCCATTCATCTACTGAGGGGCATCTGGGTTGGGGAACCCATAAGTCTTGATCCACAGGAATTATCAAATCCTGCTTAACAGAACACCATAAAACTTTACTCTCACTATAGTGTATTTGGTAAGACCAGTTACATGCAAACAGCTACTGTGTTCTCTGTGGATACAGTTTTTCATTGTGAGGTGCACCTTTTTTTATGTTGGTGGTGGTGGGGCTTGAACTCTGGGCCTGGGCACTGTCCCTCAGCTCTTCAGCTCAAAGCTAGCACTCTACCACTTGAGCCACAGCATTACTTTCAGTTTTCTGAGTGTTTTATTGGAGATAAGAGTCTCATGGTCTTTCCTGCTTGGGCTGGCTTTGAACCATGGTCCTCACATCTCAGCCTCCTAAGTAGCTAGGATTACAAGCATGAGCCACCAGTGCCTGACTAAGATGCACTTTCTTTTCACTACTACCAGGGTCACATCCAAAGTTTGCATTACAAAGTATTGACCCACTTAAGAACTGATTAGTTAAAACAATAATAAGCTTCTACAAGCTAGTAAAGAAAATCAAATCACTTCTCCCTATAACACAAAAAAATTATTGAGCTCAAGATAATCAGAGTTCAGGACAACCTCTGCCCAAAAGCAAGACAAATATCTTTGTTCCTCCACTCCCCCATCTACACCTAAAGAAAGATTGGATGCCAATGCCTTACCATGCCTGATTATTGGCTAAGAGTTATTGGCCACATTTCTATGAGCTGAAATTCTTCCCATAAATTCACCTTCCCACACTTCCCACCTCTGCAAACTAAAACTGCTTTTTCTTTATCTTGTCACTTCTGTAAATTTTGTTTCATCTTTATTGAAAAACCATTTCAGGAAGACTCCTACTTTTGAACCATGGCTTAGAGCTAGTTTTCTTTTGATTGAAGTGTACTGCACACATAATAAACTTCCTTGGATTATATCTTTTGTTAATTTGTCTTCGTTAGAGTCTGCACTCTATTCTTTCAGGGTCTATGTGTTAAATGCTTGGAAACCACTGTGACAATCTTAAGAGGTAACAGAACCTTTAAGAGGTAGAGTCCAAGCCAGGCACCGGTGGCTCATGCCTGTAATCCTAGCTACTACAGAGGCTGATATCTGAGGATCATGGTTCAAAACCAGCCCAGGCAGGAAAATTCATGGGACCTTTGTCTCCAATTAATCATCAGAAAACCAGAAGTGGTTCTATGGCTCAAAGTGGTAGAGTACTAGCTTTGAGCAAGAGTCAAGGACAATTCCTAGGCCCTGAGTTTAAGCCCCACGACAGACCAAAAAAAAAAAAAAATAGAGGCGGAGTCTAGTGGAAGATATTAAGGTCATTAGGAAAATGTACCTGGAAAAGAGAGTGGGACTTTGTCCCATTCTTTTCTCTTTTTCTCTTCCTGTTCATGAGGTGAGTGACCAGCTTGACTCTGCCACTTGCTTGTACCCTGATATCCTGCCTTGCCCCAGGACTAACTGATCATGGCCTGAACATTTTCTTTTTATAACTTGGTTTATCTTGGGCATTTGTTGTAATAATGGAAAGCTTCCTGAAACAATCTGTCTCAGCAAGCAGAAAAGGTCAAAAGCTGTGTACATATGACCATATAAGATGATGCTAAGCAAAATGAATCCCAAGATAGGGACACAAGAGGTTTTTTTTCTTTGTCACTGTTGTTTTTAATGTATTATGTGATTTTGGGGGGGGTTGTATGTTCTTCCCCCATGGTATAACCCCTGTTGTCACTGTATTTGATTCCAATACCCTGCATCTTGTATATGCATTTTTCTAATTTGGAGAGGGGAAGGGAAATAAGAAAGTGCAGGAACAAGGATACAGGTTAACCCACTGTAACAATGAGCTATACAAGATACTATGTTGAAAATGAACTTTACAACTTGGGTGGGAGAGAGGATTTAGGGAGGTGGGGAGGGAAGGGATAGTAGGGGAAAAACAAAGGAGGGGGTAACAATGCTTGACAGGAAATGTACTCATTACCTTACTCATGTAACTGAGAGCCCTCTGTACAGAATATTTACAATAAATTCAAAAAAAAACTCTGTCTCAGCTACAAACTTGAGCGTTGAAGAAAAAATATACTCCTCTTCTTCACTAAGTTGCCTATTTCTTTCACAATATAACCCTCTCAAAAACTTAGCAGTCTCTGGTATATTTTACAGGCTGCTCCATGGGCCACGATCCATTTTTAATTTTATAACCCAGCTCCCAAATGTATTTCTTTGACATGAATGCTTTATTTCTTTGCCTTGGAGCTCAACCCTGTTCTCTCTCCCTCATTTTAGAAAAGGGTGCCTTGGGCCATCTGAAATATATCTGGGCAGGAAAGCTACAATCTTAATCAGATTTTTGCCATAATTCAGGATCCCTCACTTTACAAAAGATCCCAAATGCACCTTTGAAGAAAAGTTTGAGGAGTTCAGAAGTAGTTAGCCTTCCTCCACTATGAGCCTCCAAATCTCAGACTTATTACAGTCCCTCCACCTCTGATCCAAACTGTCTGCTTCTTGACTGAGCTGAACTCTATAACACTTCTTTCCAAAATCTTCAGAAAAGCAAATATACACCCATCTTTCTTTCTAACACCACACAAAAAACACAAGCTTCCAGGCTGCACTGTTTGGCTTCTCGCTGTTTCATTGTTGTCAGTAAAAGGAGTATTAATATTATCCCCACCTTTGGTGCTCAGCTTCACCCAGATCTAAGCTCCTCCCTACCCTAGAGTTCCCACCATACAGATGGCCACTCCTTCTCTCCTCCTAAACCCATCTGAGTACCCACTTACCACACTTCCTGCCCCCAGACCCTCCTGCTATCCGGATAGGGGTGGATGCCATGCACTCCCTCTCCTGGG